AATATTGTTCAGTTGGAAACGTACACTGCAGTGAGGACGGCGGTCGAGGAATCACTCGAATGTGCGATTCTTAGATTTGAGCCGACGCCACATGACTAAAGGAGATGAAGCTCAGTGGTAGAACATTTGACTGTCGATCGAGAGGTCTCTGGTTTAAATCTAAATCAGAAAATATTTAAGAGTTATATCGTTCCTAGAGAGCCAACCCCCAAATTAGCTCTGCTTTTAAAAACACCAGCACAGACATGATGGGCCAAATGGCCTGTTTATGTGGTGTAACAATGACTACCTTTTTCTGCACTACACAAGATAATCCATAGGCAGTGCATCAATTCACTTGACTGCAGGACACTTCAAACATAAGGCTTCACTGAAAGACTATAAATTCCTGGTTGCCCTTTGACAGGGCCAGACAGAAAATCTGTCTAACTGCATATTTGCATATATACAATATATATTCAAAAACTTTCTGTAAGAAAGCACAACAGAAACAAGAGAAAATGTCTGAAGCGATATTGCACTCCTTCATGACTCAGAAATAAGTGGGTGTAAGAAGGGTTCTTTCTCTTCACTGACTGAATTCTCACACTGAGGACAAACCTAGAGAAGAGCTGGGTGGAGAACCAGGCATTTCAGAGCACCTCGGTAGAAAGAATCAAGTGCCTGAACCTTCATGTCAGTGGTCTGATTTCATTAGGTATGTCCCACATATCATGTCATGGGCAACTAGTGAAGAAGGAATACTTCCCTCACTGACTCCGAATGTGGAAAGAATAGGAGAAAGAATATCCTTTCTCAAGTTCTATGGTCAATCCAAGGAGCCAAGGAAATAATACTTTGCGAAACTGCACATCATTTATCACTAGGTCTCAACGAGAAGGGAAAATCAGAATGGTTACTTCAAGCTACTGTCAATATTCAACAGAGCCACAAGTCAAAAACTGGTTCAAGATATATAGTGCCATTGGTCCGGAGCAGGTTCATGCAACGTTAAACCTTGAATTAACCTCGACTTCAAGATCCTCACTCTTGTGTTCAAATCCATTCACTCCCTGACACCTCCTTAGCTCTCCGACCTCCTCACTCCCCAATCTACCACCCGGCCCCTCCGCTCAACTGGCACTGGCCTCTTGCTTGTCCCTCGCACCCTCCGTCCCACCATCGGAGGTCGTGCTTTCAGCCACTACCCCCCAAAATTCTGGAACACTCTCCCTCAATCCCTCCACCTTGCCCCCCTCTCCCCTCTTTCAAGGCCGCCTGAAGACTTTCCAGTTTGACCGTGCTTATGGCCACCTCCCTCTCCCCCAGGCTCGGAGTCAGGCTCCCCCACTGTTAAGTGCTCCGAGATGCTACCCTGCATGGAGGGCGCTAAGTGCAAGTTGTTGTTGTTGTAAATCTCCTGTTCAATATCCTGTAAGTTGAGTTTGTCCAGAAACACTGTTGCAAAGCCGTACTGTCTGATCAACTGTGGTCATCCAGACACAAGGAACAATGGTTCTTCATCAACTGAGCAAAACATTATCCCTGGACAAAAATCCCTGAAGAATCACCTCCTCCTTGTGATGCACGAAATCTAGAGATTCATCTTTTGAAGCATGAATTCTGAGAGACACCAGGGTGAACAGAGCAGCTATGTTCCTTGACAATGATTTTAACTATATGGTAATCTTAAGAGTTAGGGACCAGGGGAGAGGAGAAGGTGAAGGAAAGAAATATGTGAGCTCAGAGAGCAATATTAAAAAGTCTGATGGTTACATGGGTCAAGTCATTTCACTAGGACCGTAAACAATCCTTGCACTTAACCATGTGCTATAATGTCTTAATGTCTCAAAGCACTGCACAGATAATTGCTGTGAAATGGAGTGACTGTGTACTTGCTGGCAAATGTTGCAGCCAGTTTGCACACAGCAAGGTCTCACAACATCCGTGAAGTAAATTACTGAAGAGTATTGGCCAAGACAGTCAAAGAAACTCGCTTTGAAGGGCATTCCCTGCCCCCAGCATGAATATAAGGAGTCTCCTTCACAATTGATCTAGGTATCAATTCCTCCCTCAGGTTAACAAGGTCCTAAAGGTAAAACAAGAGCTGAGTCAGGAATAACTATTTTCAGCACCAAAAGGTCTGAGGAAAGGCAGGAAGGCAGGTTTGAGATTGTAATCTGGGTGGTAACTGCTGAGAAGCTAGCCTGTTTATTCAGTATGTAGCCTGTCAACTCCAATTGTCCAAACTGTCCTTGGGATGATGTCTCCTCAGAGCGAGAAGGGACCATGTTAATCCTGGTGAATGCGTTCAGGTTTGTGGTGCCTTCCCTCTCCAGTGCCAACACCAAGACAAGCGTTTGTTGAGAAGAAGGCACTGAAGATGACAGACAAACAAGGCCATATTGTTGCCCACAGTATGGTTTTGTGCAACCTGAGCCAAAATTAAACAGCAAATTCAAGAGAAAAAATACTAGAATTGAACTAAACCTCATAAATACAGTCAATAACTTCGCAGTGTATTCTATGAAGCACTTTGAGACATATCAATGACATGATAAGGTGCTTTATCAAATGCAAGGATTATTATTATTATGGTTTGCTGTGGAGGAAAGGCAGACAAAAGCAGCAGCAACAGATGCTCAAGGCAAAATAAGGCTAAACATTCTGCAGTATGGTTTGTGTATGTGGTGGGGATAGAGAAATTTTTCCAGGTCAATGATACCGTACAATGAGTAAGAGCACTATATCAAGGTGCAACGCATCTTCCATTACAAGTCAAAGCGATTTAAATTGCAGATCAGTAACCTGCAAAGCATTGATCTAATATCCCAGAGACTGCAGTGACTGCCACAAGGATTGTGCCTTTCTGAACTAACTCTACACCAGTGTCTTAATCCACTGATCTGAAATAATACGTTTAAAGTTTGTGCATCAAAAAACTCAGTGGCCATTATTCCTCCCAACGAAAACAGGAGACAGTAGTAGGTGAGTTTAGATTCCCTGCATCCAAATTGCTGATAATAAAGTGCTTGTGACAGCAGAAGCAGACAGCCTGACAATGCACCAGGACAGGCCAGATTGAGTGACAGAGCCCTGTTTGAAGCTTTCTGATCTGAAAGCTCTGCCCTCCAGATCTACCCTCATTATGTATATTGAAATATACATAATTTATGCCTCTCAAACCTCCCCTAAAGCTTTTCTCTATTGTCGCACCCTTGCAATTCGTTTCTCACCCTGCCTCTCCTGAACGCTTTCCTTTTACCCTCCACTGGGAAACGGTTCCACAGATTCCAGGCGCCCTCCGTTACCTCGCCCATATGGTCGTATTCATGTGTGAGTTTGAGTGTTGGCAGGTATGTGGCCACAAGAGCCATTAAATCCCAGCCTGATCCTGTCCTGATCCGACGTCTACACACGTGCGTTTCCCAGCAGAGGTTAATGGTTAGCCTTCAGGAGTAGGAATTTGGACCGATTTTCACCTCCCTAACCCAGGGCGCTGAAGTACATCAAAAGTTCTGACTGCTTCCCAGTTTAGACCATTTCATTCAGTACAGCCATCAGAGGAACCAGAAAGCCTCTGGGATGTATGGCCTTACTATGATATCGAAGGAGCTAATCTTTCTTCCAACCACAACAAATTCAGCTGTGTTGGCCTACCTACCTTCACCATTTCTCTCCCACTTGGTATCACCACTTCTCTCATTCCCATTATGTCTTCCCATTCCCACCTTGTAATTAGTGGTCCAGGCAGTGTTAATTGCTCACTTTTTCCAAGTATTTTCTCAGCAGATTAACACTGGTTGAGCTTCCCATCAGTTAGCTTTAACAAGGTTTCTGTGGCTGGATTAGGTTTTTCCCTTTTTTCACTTCAAATTGTAACACTAGTTCCTAAGTTATAATTAACAATGTAATGGTAAATCCTGGGGAGGAATTAACATGGTAACATGAGTTCCTGAGTAGAAATTTATACCTACCTGAGGCTACTGGCAAAATTACTACATCAAAACAAGATCGATTCAGTCACCAAAGGCCTGAAAACATACCCAATCAGCACACAAACAGACAGTGCACAAGAGAGACCATTAAGGAGACCAGCCCTCACGGGCACCAACTCTATCTCAAGTGTAGGAGATGGTCACGATCTGCTGGAGTGCTGCTCTCGGAGTTCCCAGCACAATCTGAACTTGATGGGATAATCGCTTTGTACCTTTGTATCTCCCGTGGGATCTACTTCCCATTTTTATCCTTTGAAGTTTCTGGTCAGTTGAGACATTTTATTGCTATTCAGCCACTATTATTTCTGTTATGTCCTGACTCTCCACAAGTTCACCAGTCATCATTGGAAGCCAGTCATCTCCAGTCTAGCTGGCCAGGTGGGTGAGTGAATAGCTGTGATACACCATTCGGTATTCCAGACTGGTGGGTAACATCTCATACATTGTTGTGAAGCATTCACAACAGTCAAGAAGAAAGCTACAGCCCAGAATATGGCTCCTCTCTCCCCTCCAGCTCAACCCATGTTTCAGATAGGTGGTGAATGAAAAGAATGAAAGTATTAAATAAATGGTAGTGTGCTTAGAGGATGACTCCCTAACTCTCCCGCTTTTAGTGGCTGGTACCCACCTCCACATGCATCTTCTACAGTGAGGAGGGAAGGTCTAGCCCAGGCCTCAAGCTGGTTTGTGGAATGTTCACTGATCACTGACTCAAATTCTCCATGTAACATAGCTGGGAATGGGGAGGACGAGGGGGTTCTTCTCACAAGTCCGGGGTCTCTGCGATGTGTACCCACTAGAACTGCGGCCCTATCCACCTTCTACTAAGGAAATTTCTGAAAACACATGTACAGGCAACTGGAGGATAACCCACAAGATTTTGCTCACTCAACTCGCTCCCCTTTAACCCTGACATTTCTCTCATAGGATTAATTTAGCACAACCTTTCAACAAACAAACAATGTGTGAATTTCTTTTTTTTAAATGTAGTGCAAAATAAAAAAGGCACAAATCTCAGGCTGTTACATTTGGCTAAATTAAAATAAGACGCTTGTCCTTCAGAGGGGGATGACAATCTCTGTGTGCTGATGGAGGAGTGCTCCTCTTTTTACCTTTAATCTCTTCTGCCAGCGCCACTGTATGACTCGCCCTGTGAGCACCACTGTCAGCCACCCGAGGCCTGCTTATTGCTCGGAGTCCTGACCGAGCAGGGTCAGAATGTCTATAGCAGCTGGGAAAGGCACACTGCCTGCCCCTGCTTCCACACTTACTTTGGGACTGCCGATTTTGCTCCTGCCCAGCTTGCTCCTGCTGCGCCGAGACTGCTCATGGTCGAACTCCAGGTCCTCGAGCCGCTGCGTAAGGGCCAGCTTCTGCTGTATCGCCATACGCAGCAGGGAGTTCAGCGTTTTCTTCTCGTCCTCGGCCGCTGCCAGTTGCCGCTGCATCTCGTCCAGCTGTGTCACGTACTCATCACACCTGGAAGGATGGAGAGAGACAACAAAGTCAGTCCCAACAAGCCTCTTTCTGACAGACAGATATTATTACCATCTGCAGTGCTTGTCCTCATAGGCTTCTACTCCACAGCCCAAGTGCAGAGCATGACCTTTGGCTGACATATACTCGTTCATTTCCCCCCACCCTCCCACCCATACACTTGCCAGATTACCTGTCAGTGGAAATACACAATCTGTGTACCCATCACTAGCTCTGGGCAACTCTTTACTGAGCGCTTACTCTTGTATATTAAACAACAAGAAACAGCCCTGCTCCTTCACAGTGGCTCTCATCATTCAAAAAGGTCGAGCCAGCATAGTTTTTTAGCAAATGGAGAAAAGCTATCCCTCATTTTTGCTAAGTGATGCAAGCATTTGAGGTCAGAGATTGCCTCAAGCGCTCTGAGACGCCACCTCATGTGAAAGTTGCTATATAATTCCAAATTACTGTATGTCACACTAGAAAGAAAGATTTGCCACTGACTTTTTTTGTGAACACAGTAAGAGTCTCAACTGAAATGCCCGACCACTCCACACCATACATTATCCAATACAACGATCACTTTTGCTTCATTTGCCACCTTACCTGCCAGTTTATTTTAACACATAATTTCAAAGTAAAAAACAATCATTCTGTCAACAAATTTAAAAGCACATTTCACTATTTGAAATGTATTTTCTCTGTCTCTATTTTCCTGGGTGATTCTCCAAACGATTTGGTGGAAATCTAATGAAGTAATATTCTGGATTTACGCAATCTAAGCTATTTCATATTTTATACACAAGATCCTCCTTAATTGTCTTCTTTTTGGTCATTTGTTTCTTCAACTCAACTGCTTTGCACTTGGGATCAATGCTGTTGCTCTTCACTGCATCCCCTCCAGTTTGTGTTTTTATAGTGAGGTTCTCATATTGGTGGTCAGACCGGTACATTAATAATCCTTGCATTTACTATAGCACCTTATCACTTTGTTAAAATATCTCAAAGTGCTTCAAAGAATTCATTGTAAAGTGTAGTGACTGTATTTTGTGAGCAAACGCAGCAGACAATTTGAGAATAGCAATGTCCCACAAATAGCCTTGAAGTGAATGACAATTTAGGGGAGGTATTATTGGGCAGGACACGGGGAGAAACTCCCTTCTCATTTCAAAAAGTGGCACGGGTTTTTAATGTCTCCCTGAACAGAAAGACTCAATCTCAATTTAACATCTCATTTGAACTATGTTGTCCAAGGTACCTGTTGAAGGCCCGTATTCCACTGCTTTGCCGACCTAATCCTGAATTCTGTTTGTCTTTCTAACTGTACGGCATAGTATGAATTTCAAAGTGATGAGTCTACCATCTCTCCCAAATCTCTTTTTAGGTGACTTTCCGCCAATTTAATCCCATTTATAGTAAACAGTAATTACAATGCACATTTATTTTCAACCAATGCAATGAAATCATCCTATACTGTAATTTCTCTGATACTATGAAATACAACACGGAGAAAAGTAAAGTGCACTGTGATGTGAGACAGTGGCTGAGCCGGGAGACGTTGCAGAGGTGGAGGAAGGCAGAGCGGGTCATGGTGCAGATGTGGGGTATAAAGTATAGTTGGGGGTCAAACAAGACCCCAAGGTTCTGGACTGGCTTAGCAAGGTGGAGTGTGCAACCATGGATACTGATGCTGTCAGTGCCTGGGCTAAGGAGGCGCTGACAGGAGGCAATCAGGAGAGCCTCGTTCTTGTTGACGTTCAACTGAAGAAAGTTAGCTCTCATCCAGGACTTGATGTCTGACAGACATTCTGTCAGGACAGCAATGGCCCTGGAGTCAAGGGTGGAGGCAGAGAGGTAGAGTTGGGTGTCATCTGCATACATGTGGAAGTTGACTCCATGTCTGCGGATGATTTGTGGACTTTGTGGAGTCCTGTAGCTCAGTGGTTAGAGCACTCGCTTTGCAAGTGAGAGACCTGAGTTCAATTCCAGGCAGGGCGAAACCTTGGGCAAGTTTCCTTACTCCACACGCCTAATAATAATCCCTCCAAAAAAAAAAACAATAATTAAATTGGTCATTTTCAATCTACGACTGTTTGTGGGACATTGCTGTGCGCAATTGGCTGCCGCGTTCGCCCACAAATATACAGTCAATTCACTTTACAGTGTGTTCTGTGAAGCGCTTTGGGACGTCCTCCCAACGTGAAAAGCGCTATATCAAATGCAAGGATTATTATTATTATTATTATGATGTCACCAAGAGGGAGCATATAGATATTGAAGAGGAGGGGACCAAGGACAGAGCCCTGAGGAACACGAGACGGTGCAGGGGCTAGTGGAGAAGCCATTTGTGGAGAATTTACCAACAAATAGACCATACTACACTTCAAAGTAAAGATCCTATGAAGTGCTTTGAGACATTTTGACTATCTGATAAGGCGCTATAACAAATCCAAGGATTATTATTATTTTTGTTGTCATTAATCCACTACCAAATGCTCCACTACTTCCATATTACAGCTGTTGTTTTGGTCACCTGTAGTTACCTTGAAGGGAGTGTGGTGCTCATACCTAACAGTAAGTAGAAACCCGGTTGTTAGTCGATTGGCGAATTGCTTTCCGGGGGTAATAATTCCTTCAAAAAAATAATAATTTATTTACTCAATCCACAATTCTTTGTGAGACACTGCTATGTGCAAATGGTGCCGCGTTTCGCCCACAAAATACAGCCAATTCATTTTACTGTGAAGTGCTTTGAAACGTCTTAACAACATGATAATTAAGGCCCTATATTAAATGCAAGGCTTATTATTATTATTAATGTTATGATAAGAGATGATACTGAAAAAAGATTCATGGGGGAGAGAGGAATACAAAAAGAAGTTATACATCAGTATTCAGAGCATGTGATGTGGCCTGAACTCCAATACAGATCCCACAGCTGAAATGACCTAGAAATTCTTCATCACAGGATAATCCCTTTAAGCCCAATTGTTAAAATTACTAAGCTGTAGTTCAATATTGAACTCCAATTCTGTCAACACTACAATGGAGCAGAGGTTACTGTTGGCTTCCATTCAAAACCCTTGACATAATTTATAATTTTCGGACTTGACTTCTGTTTCTAAATGTACAATCCACGTGACTTTTTCCGGTGATGTTTGTTGGCAACATCTTGGCACAAGATTGCGCATTCCCAATCTGCCAGGTAACGGGAAACCTCGCAAATGAACACCCATAGGACAGAATGCAAAATGAGAGTAATTTGATGAAGTCACCAAAAATGCAGATATGAAGTCTGGTTGACAGATATTGATCAGTCAATGATAAATAATGCATAAGCACCAAGGACAAGGACAGTGGGATGTCACAGTGGGTCACTTGACCAGGCAGCTTGTCAGAGGAAAGAACTGACCAGAGAGATCATGTGATTCTATGTGGGAAGGGTGGAAACTGAAGGCCAACGCTCTCATCACACATTGACATGGATCAACTCATTGGCCTGGCAGTAGCACTGATTTCTGAAATGTATGAAGCTTCTTCACAGATCACAAAGCTCACAGATCACAAGCTGATGGCAAAAAAGCAGTTCCCTTATATCCACTTAACATCAGTCATAAGAACATTCTTTATAAAATAATTACGATAATATGTATTTTTAAATTGTTATCTTTCCCTCTCGTCCTGAATATCCCAATGCAGTTGTTCACAGAGATCACACAGCTGACATATCATATAATCCAGTGCCTGTGCCAATACTGCTCTTAAGCCCATGACCAGAAGAGATGGGGTGGTGCCTCTCCTTCCCACACTCTCTCTGCCTTTCAAATCAAAGCAACAGCCACAATCGTAGACTTGTTACCAGAAGTGATCTCTGTGAAGTGAGCTCAGTGGGACATATCACAGCACCAATGTGTGAAGGTAAATGTAGAGCTTCTTAGTATTTAAACCTGGCTTTGTAGCAGCAATTCAATAGGAAGATTTATAGTGTATCACAGTATTTAAGGAGAATCTCAGACACCAATTCAGCTTTTGCTCATTCTACACTATGTGAGATATCCCTACCATTGCTAAGTGCAGGGACTAGGATATTATGTTTATACTGGGATTTCCATTTCTAAATGCAAATTGCCAAAGCCACTGAATTTGATAGCGAAAGAACTTTCATTGTCTATGTTTCTAATAGGCTCAAGTAGATAAAGGAGTCGCTGGCTTTGAGGATGTTCCCATTGAGAGGCTTTTGCTCTGCACATGCTTTTAATTAAATAACAGAGGATCATTTTTAAATTAAAAACAGCAGTCACTGACAGCATGCCCAGATTTCACATTTCACAAGTTGCACCGGAAAAGCTTTGCAAATGAGATTATTAATATATTATGTATTACATTAGAGCCCATGGGGACAGAATATTATAGTAGATGTGAAACGTGAAAACACAGGGATTTGCCCACGGTCATCAGCTAATGGAAAATTTACTCAACTCCATAAGCACCGTCACAGGAACGAGCAGGCTGGAAACTGACCACATCTGCCCCAAAATCAGCTGAACTGAAGCCAGATGCACCAGATCTAACCGTATCATGTTAAATACACAGGCTTTCCCTGAGGGTAACAGGTGTGAAAATGGGTAGAGTCCAACTGGTGCAATTATTTTTGAAGGACTTTAATAATAATAATGATAATCCTTATATTCGAAACAATGCCTTATCACATCATTAAGGGGATATATGCATTGACTGTGTGGGTTGTGGGGGAAACACGGCAGTCAGTTCCATACAGCAATGTCATACAAGCAGCCATGGAGTGATTGACTAATTTTTTAAATTTATATTAATAATAATCCTTGCATTTGATATAGCGCTTTTCACGTCTTCTAGACTTCTGAACGCCCTTCACAAAATATGCTGTAAAGTGAATTGACTGTATATTTGTGGGCGAAATGCGGCAGCCAATTGCGCACAGCAGTGTCCCACAAACAGTCATGGATTGAAAATGACCAATTTATTATTGTTTTTGTTTTTTTGGAGGGATTATTATTAGGCGTGTGGAGTAAGGAAACTTGCCCAAGGTTTCGCCCTGCCTGGAATTGAACCCAGGTTTCTTCCTTGCAAGGCGAGTGCTCTAACCACGGAGCTACAGGATTCCACGTATTTGGGGGATTGTTGGCCAGGATACCGGAGAAACTCCCTTTTCTTTTCGAATAGTGCCATGGGATCTTTAATATCCACCTGAATGGGCAGATGGGACCTTGGTTTAACGTCTCATCTGAAAGATGGCACTTCCAACAACGCAACATAATCCTAGCACTACATTGGAGCTTTACTTTAGACTGTGGTTCCAAGACCCGACGTGGGGCTAACTCAGAGGCAACAGTGCTACCACTACACCAGACTGACAAACACATTTGCTTCCCATTGGTGCTCAAGGTAATAAGTATTATTGGTGGGGAGCAGAATATTCTTTCTCTTTGTTCCCAGGGTTAATATTAAGCACTCCCTGGCCAAACACAACCCAGTAAAATGCAAAGTAAAACTCTGCCAAAACAACAAGCGCTTCTTTCTCCCACCCTACCCCTACTACAAGTGTGTGCATGTATTGGTCACACCAGAGTCTCAGTGTTTCATTCCTCCTACTATATGCAGGCTTTTAAAATCAAGTTCGGCATCATCTATCCAGAATTTCTTGAACTTTACTGACCTCTCTTCTACTCCATTCATCCATGCTGATGTCTTGTAGTATGGGCCTTGTCTCTTCCCCTATATTTCTCAATACAAAAACACATAGCGTCGGGCTCAGCTGCAGGGTGGAATTCACTGGCCATTCTCCGACCTTCCAAGGCATTTTAATTGCACTTCACTGTAAATCTCTGCTCTGGCAGACAGACACTCAACGAGACCAGTGATCATATACCAGACCTGGAGAAACTTTTGGTGAAGTGTGAGGGGAAGGTAGCTGTGTAAACTGTGAGAGTGGAGAAAAGCAACATCTCTCACCTGGTAGCAAACATGGCACGTAAGGACGAGAAGGTAGCCGCGTCCTCCTTAAGGGCCTTGAGTTCGTTCCGCAGTTTCATCATCGTCTCGGTCACCATCGCTTTCTCGTTCTCGTATTTACTCTTCAGATTGGCCAGGGCAATCTCGGCGGTCTGTGGGGATCAATGCACAGGGTCTTACAGCAAGATCACTGCAGCACAAGAGAGACCCTCACACACCGGGTTCAAATTCACTAAAACTCTACATGACAATGGCCAGAACAGTCCTGTGCAATTCAAGAGAAGCATATCAATTTTTGTTCTGCATAAATGTTGTCTTCTTGTAAAATAAGCTTCTGTGAATGACCAGTATTGTTTCAAACAAAACATTGGGAATTTCCTAAATACTGTCAGCAGCTTATTGAGATATTAACCAAGGTCCCACGATCCTCAATGGGAAACAGTAGGAGAGGGGAATGGACCTTAAATTTGCCTGTTCAAATCTAGGTCACATCTTGCAACAGTCATTGTGAGGTGAAAACATCAGAGAAAATCCTGACTGGAACTCCAGCTATGCCATTGTGGAATTCAACTACAGCATTTACAATTATACAGCAGCTTTTGCATCAAGAAGGAAAGGTGACCAAAAAAGCGGTCAAAAAGATAGGTCTTCAAGCAGATTTCAAAGGTGAGGAGGGAGGGGGCGAAGTGGAGGAACTCCAGGATGGAGTTCAAGAGAGCAGAGACAGAATGGCTAGTTGCAGGGGGGGGCATGAGGTGGGCCAGTGGTCACTGAGCAGAGGGAGCAACAGGGCCAGTTAGGCTGCAGGAGATCACAGAGGTAAGGTGGAGCAAGGTCGTAGAGGGATTTGAAGCTGAAAACAAGGATCTTGAATTTGATTCACCGAGGACATGATGCCAGTGGGGATGGGGACCTAGTGGGAATGGGGAGTGATTGGAGATGGGGAGTGACTGGAGATGGGGAGTGACTGGAGATGAGAAGCCAACTCTAGATTGGAATCGTGCAGCACGTTTTCACAAATAGCTTCAGGTGGATAATGACAACGAAAGTTACTGCACTCATCTGGTGCACTTAGAGACAGGCCAGAATAACCTGAACTAGAACTGGAGCGGTTCAGAAAATGTCTGAACCAGGGTCCAATGTTTGAGGAAGGAAGGGAGGAGAGAGAAAGCATACATTAGAAATAGGCCAAAGTTAACAAATGTGATAATCCAAACTCAAAACTCAGAGTTCGTTCGCAGACCTCTTGAGTTTCCAATCTTGCAGGTCTTTGACAAGCTCGGACTTTGCACCAATTCGGACCTGTTTAACAGCGCCCATCGCCATGATGTGGGCCAGCACAACATACAAACTTACAACAGCTGAGTCCTAATGACAGTGTCTGAGGTCAGTGTCTCTCAATGAAGCAGTGCCTTTCAATTATACAGTATTTCTGTTTACTGAGGAATTTTGTTCCACACCCCTTCCTCCACAATAAGCACACGGCCATCGGATTCATTGTCCCGTTGCAGCCGGGGATAAACAGCTACGAGCCCACACAGCCCTTGGCACTGCATCTATCACTAGGTGAAGTACTACCTTACAGGGAGAAAACTCTGAGGGATTGCACCAGGGGCAAAAAAGGAATTGCCTCCCAGACGCACTCCATTTTCACAGATGAGCCAAAGAACCTGCTCCTGAATACCAGGCAGCCCAATGGGCTGAGAGTTAAGAGCGGAGAAGCTCATGTCTCCTGGCATCTCCCTACCTGTTTATTGGCTTTGAGCACTGTCCGTAATGTTGCAATCTGCTCGCGCTTGGTGCTGAGCAGGGACTTCAACTTCAGGATTTCCTCCATCAGCACCTCTTTATCCTTATCGATCATCGGGGCCAGCTCCCGCGCAGCTGCCCGCTGCCGTGAGAGCTGCAGCGATCGATCCACCGCCTTCTGCAGGTGTTTGATTTGGTCCCTGATGATGGCGTTCAGGTTGTAGATGTTCATGGGCTCTTTCCGGATGTCGCTGTTGTCGGAGACGGGGGAGGAGGGAGGAGCGGTGATCACGGGCGAGACCGTGACGCTGACCGTTCTTGTCGGGCTCTGTTGGGCGGTCTCCCTGCTGCTCTCAGGGGCCTCTTTCGAAGACTGGTCCGAGGGGCTCCTTAGGTCACTCTGAGCGGCCATGCATCTTCGGGCAAGACGTGGGGACAAGATACCCCTTGGATCATCTGGGCCCTTGAGGCTGCCACTGCGGGTGACCCTGCTCTGTCTATAATAGTCCAGCATGACCCTGTTGGGGGTTTCATTGTTACACAAGCACACATGGTGATAGAGCTGGGCGAGCTCCTCACTAAATGTTACCAGTTCATCCTGGGCGGTGTTGAGGGTATTGTGGCCCTCATTTGCCATCTCGGTCAACGTCTTAATCTCTTTCTCAAAGCGGTTTATCTTTTCGTTGTACTCTTTGTTCATTTTCTCCAGGCAGGTCACCTGCTCGTCCAGCTCCTGCACTCTGCTCTCGTACTTGCTCTTCTCCTCGGTGTAAATCTCCACGCACTTGTTGTATTTCTCCTTCAAGCACTTGAGCTCGGCCTTGAGGTCAATCACCTCCGTGATGGCTACTTTGTACTTGCATTCTAGAATCTCCAGTCCGTTAATGTCCACTTCATAGTCATGGCTTTCCTCTGCGGAGTCTTGTCCTTTCTCATTGTCCAGCTCGGCCTTTAGCTCCTTATTGCTCTGCAGCCTCCTCATGGCGTGTACATGTTCAGTCAGACTGTGAACCCTCTCGTGCTGCTCTGTCAGCGCTCCCTTGGTGTGCTCCAGCTGAGTCTGAGAATCCTGAAGGTTTGCCAGGAGGATGGCTTTCTCACGCTCCACCTGCAGAGAGGTGAAGTAAAAGATTAGTGTGGTTATTAGAGGAAACTTTTAAATGCCTGTTCCCTATCATATCAGATAGACTCATAGAATCATAGAACTGTACAGCACAGAAGGAGGCCATTTGACCCATCGTGTCTGTGTCGGCTCTTTGAAGAGAGCTATCCCAATCAATCCCACTCCCCCGCGCTCTCCCCATAGCTCTGCAAACTTGTCCTCCCCAAATAATTATCTACTTCTCTCTTAAAACTTGTTATTGAATTGCTTCCACCACCGTTTCAGGCAATGCATTCCAGATCCGAACAACTCGCTGTGTGAACACATTTCTCATTCCTGGTAACTATCCTATGCGATCTGACACCTGTGGTCACCTCTCCCCCTCTCTCTTCTCCCTTGTTCAGCATCCACGCCGTCATTGTTAAGCACTCCCAGATGTTATCCTGCGTGAAGGGCGCTATGTAAATTCAAGTTGTTGTTGATGCCTCTCTCATGGTATTGGGCAGTGTTACCCATGCTGAAATATGCTACCATACCATTCCCCCACCTCGCTTGCCCCACTATTGGTGGGCGGAGCTTCTGCCACTCTGCCCCTACCCTCTGGAACTCCATCCCGCAGTCCCGCCCACTCGCCCTCTCCCTTGCCTCCTTCAAGGCCCATCTCAAGACCCTCCTCTTTGACCGTGCTTTCGATCACCCTGCTTCCCCCCTGCCCTCCACCCTCCCAAATCCCGACCCCCAGTTCGGGTCCGAAACTCTGTCCAGCGCCTTGGGACGTCCTCCCAACGTGAAAGGCGCTATCCAAATGTAATTTTGTTGATGTTGTTGTTGCTACAAGAACAATGTGCACTCACAAAAAATGAACATCCCAAAGCGCTTCAGAGCAACATGGAGATCATGAAGCAGGCAGGAAGGGGCGTTTGAGAATGCAAACTAAATCACTGTCAAGCAGATTTTTTTTAAGTAGGGTTTCGTGGACAGGAATAGAACACACAAGGCAAAGGGGATTTGGGAATGAATTCCAGAGAGCAGTGGCATACTGGCTGAAAGCTCAACAACGAATGGTTTGTGTGGGGATTAAGGAGCAGACCAGAGTCAAAAGATTGGAGGATTCAGGCAAAAGAATAGAACTGAAGGAAACCACAGAGGTATGTGGGACTGCATGACACTGACTCTGGGTCTCATCCACTCCCCATATACGCTGTTTTCAACCTCCAGAGGGCCCTATGGAGTCAGCGACTGGATACTTTTCCTTTACTCTGTCCATTTACACACACAGTGGAAATGTCAGCAGTCGTCGCAAAGCTATGCAAAGGTTCTTCTACCTTCGTAGTAAACAGAATAGAATGTTTCCAAATCTCCTTCTGTTTATACGGCAGCAAACGTCTCTGAGCTGTAATAATAATAATCCTTGCATTTGATATAGCACCTTACCACGTCATTGACACGTCTCAAAGTGCTTCACAGAATATACAAAGTGAATTAACTGCATATTTTGTGGCCGAAATGCGGCAGCCAATTGTGCACAGCAGTGTCCCACAAAAAGTCATGGATTCAGTGATCAAATTATTATTAAGCACTCTGGGACTCTATCCTGCGTGAGGGAGGTTATATAAACGCAAGTCGTTGTTGTTGTGGTTGCTTTTTTTAAAAACAATTGAAGGGATAATTACCCCTGGAAAAGCAATCCGTCATTCGACTAACAACCGGGTTCCTGATCCCTGCTAGGTAAACAGAGGCGTGTGGAGTAAGAAAACTTGCCCAACGTTTTGCCCTGCCCAGGAATCAAACCCAGGTCTTCTCGCTTGTGAGTGGTCTAACCACTAAGCTACAGGACTCCACTGTATTTACACACTAACAGGAATACACTGTGACTGCAAGAGAAATTTTGAGACTCTGCACTTGGAAATGTAATACCACCTTCAGGCCGCACACTAACAAGGCAGAATAATAGTCCTCTTGGGCAGTCTAAAATATGGCCTGTGTACACCAAACGTCTGTGACATTCTCTGAACTTGACAATCCCGACGTGAAAGGCGCTATACAAATGTAATTTTGTTGTTGTTGTTGTACTTGGTGGGTCATAAGCATAAACCACTTAGTGACTATCTATCCCCTTGAGGTAAGCAGGATCTCCTTGCAGTTGACCAAGGTGACATGCTTGGCAAGGGAATGTCAGAAACGAGTCAGCCCTCCGTGGTGGTCTTGATTGTCTAGTTTCTGAGACAGATCTGTCAGCAGTACTCCAGGGCCCGTCTGATGACAGACCACTCAGCCTGACTCATTGGCAGGACTTGGAGAGACAGACTGATCACTGGAGCAGGGATTTTTCCCAGCTAGCTATTAATATTTTTTTATCTTCAGTAGATTTCTGACCAGTCTATCATCCTCCAACATTCTGCATTTTCCTAATATTTCACTCCTTATCCATTTCCTTCAAATATATCAGTATTTTTTCTTCAAGCAAGTCTTTTTCTATTCTCATTCCCATTATCCAAATCTTTTACTATCAGCTTGCTCCATCATCTGCTTTCAGTGTCATTTATTAATGTACTTTCTGCAGATAATAATGTTATGAGATTTGAAGCTTAAAGGTTAGTGCCTGGGGGCAGCTTTGGCACTAATATGGGCAGAGACAGGGAATTAGGCACAATTATAATTTTAAAATAATAAAAATCCTTGCATATGATGAAGTGCCTTTGGCAAAATGCCTCAAAGCACTTCACAGGATTTACTGTAAAATGTAGTGATTGTGTATTAGTAGGCAATTTCCTGTTGATACTGTTAACGGGCAAACATCAAGCTATCACACCAGTAGAAGAGCTACCCAATGATTTCACTTCATCCACACATTTTGTCGGAATGCACTAAACTTCCATTTAATGCAAAGCATTGTCTCCAATGTCATTTCTCGAAAGCTGTCTCCAACCAGCAGGTCAAAGTACAGTAATCTAACTGAGAACAGCAAGTGAGTGTACAGCAGCTCCTTTCAGCATCATTGGCAAATACAGCAGAATGCATTTCCCTTTAAGGATGTCACTGAGCTATTCCTTTTTTTATATTGCATGGTGCACACTGCCTCATTATGTTGCCGGGGCTCCATTTCCTGCAACTTAAAGCATGATTCAATGCTAGTCAGCCGCTTTGTGCACAGTTCCTGCTAACAGAGAAATCCATAATTGCTGTTTCCAAGCAATTCTTGGACGAATGCTGAGTATAAAGCTGGCCTGTTGAGGCCAACACACCACTGGATCTGGAGGAAAGGTTTGTCCTTGGAATTCCCATGACTTTGCAGGATTCCTGGCCTGGATCAAATCCTGGAACATCTATCTATACAAAAAAATCCACTTTGGCAGGATGGAAAATCTTGAATGCAGAACAGCTTACAGCCCAGGATACGGGCACTTCTCTAACCTACCAGGATTCATCCTGACACTCTTGGCAGTTTTCAACCCAGACCAGTTGATGGTCAGGAAGGACATCACAAATGGGAGTGCGTAGCGGACTTTGTATCTTGGGCATGTTTCCTTACTCCACACGCTTCTGTTTACCTAGCAGTAAGTAGGAACCCGGGTGTTAGTCGATTGGCAGATAGCTTTCCAGGGGTAATAACCCTTCAAAAATATATTTTTTTAAATTGTTCACTCAATCCACAACTGTTTATGGGACACTGATATGCGCAACTAGCTGCTGCGTTTTGCCCACAAAATTCTGTGTATTTTGTGAAGCGCTTAGAGACGTCTCAATGACATGATAAGGTGCTACATCAAATACAAGGATTATTATTATTATTAGCCGGAGTCCTGGCCAACAATCCTCCAAATAAAATTGTTCATTAATTCCATGGCTGTCTGTAGGATACTGATATATACATCAGCCTACAACATACACAGTCACAATACTTTACAATATATCGTGTGAGACACTACATCAAATGCAAGGATTATCATTATTAAAATACTCAAGGATTAATCTCTATCTGCATTAATAATAAATTATAATGCATTTCCAGCATTTCCCCATATTTCTTTTAAATCTATTTCAAAGAACCCTTTGCCAGGGGCAATGACATTTTCTTTGTTTTTGATCCTGTGAAAGGCCGCATCAATACAACAAGTCAAATGAGTCTCGTAGTGAGCTGAACACCAGTGAAAATTACTTTCCAAAAGAGTTGTGTGGTTGCAAATCCATCGAGTGAAAGGCTGCATTCTGATTTCTTGCTTCAATTCCCGAAGAGTTACTTGGATCAATACAATAATGTACATTAATAACAATAAAATTAGCAATTGTTATCATTGCAGTGTTAGTCAACAATCTCCCTCTTCCCCCCAATCACCCATTTTCCAATATAGACTTTCATACTAAATAAAAGTAATTTTCCCAATGGCTGGGATGTTCAAGGCAGAGGTTGTAACTGGTTTGGGGCGGGGAAGGGGAGGGAATTCAAAATAATGAATTTTACATTTTGCATCAAATCTGTGCTGCAGAGCTCAACCAGGGTCCAAACTCCTTCCTGTTAGGAGTTGGTAGGTAACAGTTATAAAAGAACACTGACCTTGAAACTGACGCAGAGCTGACCTGAATGATGGAGTCAAACTTATGCTAAGAACAAATGAGAGTCCATGTGCTAATTGCAGCTTCTGGTTTGCAATTGCCCAGACTTGACTTTTCAAACTGGAGGCAACAGTGAACAGCACAAATCCAAATTTTGAATATCGTAACTTAGACCCGATCCCAATTCCGGAATTTGAATTCATTTAAAAATGTACATTTTCAGAATGAACAAACAGTTACATGTGCAGGATGGACATGAAGCTCTGTGGAACAGGACTTGGGTTAGGTTTAGGTGTTGTGGCGAAAAATCTGAGCATTAGAGAAGCAAAATGATGTGATATAGAGTATTCTAATTAGAAATTAGAATGGTACTTCAGTGGCGTGAAGGCAAGAGAAAGAGAGACGGTGGAGGAAGAGCCAAAGAGAAATAGCAAAGAAGAACAGAGGAAGGAGAAAGAGAGAAAGAGAGGAAGGAGTTAGGGAGAACCAGAAGAGCCAATGTCCTACCTGTATAAGTTGTTGTTTGAGTTTTTGCATTTCTGAAATGTTGAGCTCACTGAACAGGTCAGAGACCAAGACAGGGTTGTCATTTTTCCTGCTAGTCGAAGTCCGGTAATCCCCATTGAGCTTCACCAAGGAGCCGTGGACGTGCCCATTTACTTTGTCATCATTGTTGGGCTCGTTACCATCTTCGGAGAATTTCAGGCCGTCCACGGCAATGTTGATGTGGTTGTTGTACATGCTGTCGCTCATATTGATGTACTGCGACAGTTCCTTACGCAGGTTGTTCTTCTGCTCCCGCTCATTCTTCAGCGTCTCCAGCGCTTCCTCCAGCTGGTGCTCAGCGATCTCCTTCAGACGGATTGCATCCTCCAGCTGGCTGTTCAGCAGCACCGTCTCCTCTTCCAGGCGTTTAATCTCATGTTTGAGGCCTTCATATTCCACCTAGTCAATGGAAAAAGAAACAAGTGTTCAGAGGCTTTAAGTGCACATTTCCTTCCACCTTCAAGCCATGAAGCTCACTGTGGCCATTTTATCCTTGAGATGACTTATAACACTCAAGCCCTCCCATGGTGCCTGGGGCATTGTTGAGTGCTCCACAGTGCACAGGGCAGCATGCCTACATGCAGGAGACATAACTACTGACAAAGCAATTGGTGTTAGTGCAAAGCTGGTGCCGTTATGCTGAGGGCCAGGTGCACAGCTCGATTCCCAGAGATTTTAATCCTGGTCCACAATGTATAATGTCATAAATGGTGGCATTCATCCTGGGGGGAGTGGCGGGGAGAGAGGGAAATCCTGCTGGCAGTGGAGGAGGAGGTGAAGGAGGAGGAAGAAGAGGTGCTGATGAAAGACATTATGATACTGGAGAGGGAAATGCAAATGAAAGCAACGGTGGAGAGAAGCTGTGCTACAGATAGAGGAAACGGGGAGTGAAGAGAGAGGAGTCAGGGAGGGGAGTAAAGAGAGAAGAGTTGGAGAGTGAAGAGAGAGGAGATGGGGAGTGAAGATAGAGCGATAATCAATGGCTATAGAATGAGGTGAAATAGATGCAGTGGATGTGGAGGAGTGAAAAACACAACTGGGAACCTAACCATTTGTGAGACCAGACTGGAGCCCTCACAGCGGTGCACCACATCACAGCAGAGATTTGTGCACCTTGAGAAGAATGAACCCGTCTGAAATAGACATGCAAAACACACATACACACACAAAGCCTGCTTTGAGGTGACCAGGAATAGGTACCACTACAAAACTGCCAAGCTACTACTTCTGTGCACACAGGCATACTCAGCCAATAAAAATGAAAAAGAATTCAGTAAAAGGAAGAGTGAGAAAAAATGCCTGCGTGAATGTAACATCCAAAGACATGACACATTTCCCCAGAAGAAAGGTGAGTTACCTTTATTTTGTGGTACGCAAAAGACAACTAATGCAGATGATTTGCAGGCTAATTGATGCCTTAGGGTTACCTCAAGAGAGAGAGATAGAAAGAGTCCTGCTACAGTGAAGAGCTGCAGCATTCTCAACATGTCCAACCTCTGCTTTACGTGGAGCCGGCTCTCTTTCATCTCTTGTTGAAGAGAAAGCTCATTATTTCATCAAATGGGATAACCCTAAGCTGACGTCACCTTCAAGTCTTGACCATCCCGTTTAACAAAAAGAATTGGCCACTGGATCTTTCTCACTAACACAACAGACAGTTATCAGTGAACAATATTTAATAAGAGGTGGGTGGACGTGACAATCTTTCAAAGGTCAAGAGGTATGATACCAGATAAAGCAGGTTTTCCTCTCCCTTCTGCTCCGACAGGGACAAAAGAGAAGGAAGGATGGTGGGAAGACAAGGACATCTCATCCCAGGTAATATTGCCAATGCTGGGACAAGATGAGGGTGGGAAGCCACTCTAGACAAAGAACAGCTCAGTGAAAAGTGCCAAATTCCTGTACTCCAGCCATGCATGCCAGGCAGTGCAGTGAAAATATAAATCATGAACAATTGTTACGACTATTTAGTTTCCCATTTCGATCTGTGTGACATGGCCCAGATTTAAATTGTTCCTGACAGGCAATGCTTTAACATGAAAGGTCAACTATGAAGGGACTCAAGCCAAGGGGGCTGGACATGGATGTACCATGATGTACTACGAGTGCTGATTCTACGTTACTGTCTACAAGCCATATTCTGTCAGGTGAATTATGGTCCCTTTGTGCAGGTAAGACCCCAATCAGCACCTCTACACCCCAGCTCCTTGTAACTCTGATAAGTGGCAGGCTTCGTTTTGCTGCAGATGGCAGTGGGGAGATGGGGCTTCCCATTTGGGCTGCAACCAAAAGGAAAAGTTGAGTCAGGTGACAAAGTGGTTGACCTTGTGCGATGTGCAATTTGTGGTGCAGCAAAGGCGCCAGTTTGCACATTGCACACATGAGCATGGAGCCAGAACCTGCACCATTCACTCAATGCACCAAAGCATCTTTATTCATCTCATCTTAAACAGCAAACCTATATATAGTTTATAATGCTGCGTTTATTGCCCACATTACATCTACAAGGAATTCCTATACCACCTCTGGGTAACAGCTAGACTGCCGTCAAATCAATGGTTATTCAGTAACAAAAACACTGTCCAATGTTAAACTGAATTGTAAATATCTGAACATCAGGAGGAGAAGATCCCTGGTCCTTCCTGACTTAGTTCATCTAAACTGGGGTTGAAGATGAGCTGCTACGATTGGTCTTAGGGACCTGGGAAAGAGGAAATAATCGAATCAAATCTTACCCTTCATCACCAACCAGCAATTCCTGCAGGAATGCAGGAAATGTTAACCAAGTGTTCCTGTGTGGATGTTGGGTACAGCTAGATCAGGTTTGGTTGTGGTAGCTCTCTCTCCTCCAACAGCTGAATAGACTGCTGACACCCACATGTGAAGACTAACTACCTGATTTTTTCCTTCCTCTTAACAGCTCTCTCATTTCCCTGGTGCGTTGAACAATCAGTGTGTGCGTGGGGGTGGGGGGGCAGTAAGACGAGAGACCTATGTCCATGCTCCGGCCATAACTCTCTGACTTGGTGCCAGGAACTTGGTGCCTGAGGCAATTATCTGTGCAAGACTCCAGGTGGAGAGAGACATTTTTCCCCTCTGGATTTCAGAATGTGAGGCAGGTTGTCCTCACATTGGGCTCTAGTGTATAACATTGAATGTCCAACACTCTGTAGCACTGAACCCCAAAAGATACATTTCACATTTAGGCCTCAGGGCTGGATTAAACACCCAACTATAACTGTGTCTCTGGGTCCACAACCCGAGCACACCAGCATGAAAAGCAAGAGTGTAGGACTTCAAACACCAAACCTTTTCAGCTCCTTTAAATCATGACACTCGAGGGTGACACCAGTTCAGTCTCAAGACAAAAGTCTAAAAGTTGATGTCTCCTGTTTGACACATTTAGCAGTTTTGGCATCTCACTTTATGCAGGGTGTGGTAGCCTTTTGCTGAATATTTTTGTCATTTCATTGAAAGAAATCTTGCATATAGTTCATACCCAAGTCTTAATCATCATCCATCAGCCTCAGGTCAAGGGCAAAACCCTCCTTCCCCCACCCTACCACACACACACTCACACACGCACACAGCAACATAGGAGAAGCGCATTGCATGTCCAACAATAGCCTTTTGCTCCAGCGATATCACTCACACTTCTTCCCATGGAGAAATAGAATGCAAAAACCTGCGTTAGAAGGAGATGCAATTAGGAACTCACAAGACAGAAGATACACATTTCATTCACAGTAAAGAAAAGAAAAATGGCAAACATATTCAGTAAACAGAAATAAAGAGAACAGACGAGACAGAGAACAAACAGAGGACATGGTCTCACAGTGATGGGATTCGCTTGATCACATGTGCAGTATATTTTCGCAGCTCTCCCACAGTGTAACATGGAGCATTCCGATCACTGCCCTGTGTGTGTGACTTTTCAATGACCCAATTTACAGCAAATTGTTTGGTAGTTCATCAAAATATTCCTTGGATTAAACAACTAATAGCGATGTTGCAGAGAAGAGGGTTATTTATTATTCAGAATGGGGCATTGGAAAACTGGCACTATACAAACGATTGAAATGTATTTATGACTTGCGATCATACCCTAGATGGTTAAAATGGGAGGAATTTATTTATGGCAGATGAGAGTTCCTGTTTTTATCTCTGATCCAGAATTAAACAGACGTTTCAAGCCATGTCCACAAATCTCTGGATGGCCACAGAAACCGGCCTTGGGGAAGAGGAAGGGTGATTGCAGATTCTGCTACTCTATGACACAGCGCTGTGAGTGCTGCAACCCATCCAAGCAATACAACTTTTAAAAACATCTGTCGTGTGTTTATGGGCAACTATATCCCTTGCATGAAATCCTGAACTGCTCATTAATCTGGTATCATAAGGGTTTTCAAACACTCTCCATCCCTCCCCTCACTACACCCGAGTTGTACTCATGAACTGAGACAGTTGTGTAGAAATCAACTGAGAGCTGAGCCAACACCATTGGTTTTCTCAGGAAGGATTGAAATGCTCCATCTCTCAAATTCTGTTCTCTCAGGCATTCCCGAAGCGCGCTTGGACTATCATAAAGTTGAAGTTCAACTTAAGAATCATTTTAAATATTCTTTAAAATACTACCATCCACAATTTTAACTCTCTTCATCAACATCTGTGAAGGGCAGGGCAGCACTGAGATTCATCCCCCTGGGAGGGATGCCCTAAAGCTGCAGAATCCAGTAGTTGTCCCACTAACATATTAGCACAGTGGTTCATTTCACGAGTCCAATGAACACACAGACTGATTTCAGGAAAAGTATCTCAATAGTATAAATATTCTGGAAGAAAACGTTAGTGTGGCAGAGAATGAACAGACACGGGACACTGCAGCTTTAAGTAGAAGAGGCATTAACATTGGAACTGATTTGCTGATGGCTCCTATGGTCACCTATGCTGGTGTGACTGTCCCATGTTACAATGCTGATACAGTACAGCCACTGAACAGAACCAGTGTCTGATACAACCTCCCTCCATGCTCCTAGACATGTCCAGCACACAGATCTGATCAGAAAAGCTCTTTGCCACCACTGCAGAGGGGACTGCAGTGCCAATGGGGAGCAAAACGTCTTGGCTAATTCCGAAACTCATTTCTGCACAACGTTCTTCCCTATGCTTATTTATTCATCGTCTTAGTTTTTTGATTGTTTAATTGTTTTATCCCATTTTTCTTCCCCGTCTGTGCGGGAGAAGGGGGGGCGGGTGTGGGATGGAAAGAGTTACCAAATGTGGTCCACCTTCTTTGCTCTTTTCCCCACCTCGTTGTCAAGATAAATATCTGACGCTGAACAACTAAAGAAGCGTCATAAATAAATTTGAAGCAGACACTGTCCTCTACAATGTGTTGGTTAGATACTATTAACCTTTAATCGGCACGGCACCCTATTCATAGTGCTCATTCTTTGGAATACATGTCAATCCAGCAGAAGAAAGGTTCAGTCATCAGTGCCACAGAAAGCAAGGCTAATGAGACTGTTTAATATTAATGCAATATAACCTTAGCTTGCCCTTTCCTGGCGTTAATCTGTATTATTAAAAACCAAAGTGCTTTCTAATGACAGAGATTTGTTTTTCATGTGCGGGTTGGAGACTGACTGGCAGGAGCTGTGGGAGGAAGGGGAGCAGAGATCCATGTCAGAAGGAGTCAAACCAGATGCCTGCTGCTTAATAATTGCTTCACCCAGTCCTCAACATTTTTTGCTGGAAAACTGAGAGGGGAAGGGAGTCACATCAGAGAGGTTTAACTGGTATAATATAGAAGACATGTAGATGCAACAATGTACAGGAATAATTTATAATCTGCGTCAAGATCTCAAGCCAGGAGAGGAGGTCTCATTAGAGCTAACCTTCTTAAACATAAGCAAATACCCAACCATAGAGAGAGAATATCCAAAAGACAGAGAGAGAAGAGAGAATACCCAGAAAGAAAAAGAAAGAGAAAAAAATGCCTTAGATAGAAAGGGAGAGAAAGAGACAGACAGACAGGCAGACAGGCAGGCAGGCAGGCAGACAGACAGACAGACAGACAGACAGAAAGAAGTGACTAGGGTGGAATCTGGACCTCGATGCTCTCTGTAATTAAGTGCTGTGCTTACTCACTGAGCCCCGGTATCACTGCCCCTCTGTCAATTTATATTTGATTTGCTCTCTTGCACTTCAACACATTATACACAGAAAGTAAGCACATTATACACATAGAAGCCCATTACCAGAGGTTAGCAACTCTCCAGCATTTCGTAGATAGAATCATAAAATTATACAGCACAGAAGGAGGCCATTCGGCCCATCATGTCTGTGTCGGCTCTTTGAAAAGAGCTATCCAAATCAATCCTACTCTCCTGCTCTCTCCCCATAGCCCTGCAAACTTGTCCTCCCCAAATAATTATCTACTTCTCTCTTAAAACTTGTTACTGAATCGACTTCGACTACCCTTTCAGGCAATGCATTCCAGATCCAAACAACTTGCTGTGTGAAAAAAATTCTCCTCACCTCCCCTCTGTTTCTTTTAACTATTATTTTAAATCGATGTCCTTGGGTTACCGACCCACCCACCAGTGGAAATAATTTCTCCTTGTTCACCCTATCGATTCCCCCCATAATTTTCTATTAAGTCTCCTCTTAAACTCTCTGCTCCAAGGGGAATAATCCTAGCTTCTCTAGCCTCTCCTCATAACTGAAGTCCCTTATTCCTGGTACCATCCTGGTAAATCTCCTTTGCACCCTCTCCAATGCCTTGACATCCTTCCTAATGTGTGGTGCCCAGAACTGAACATAGTACTCCAGCTGAGGCCTAACCAGTGTTTTATAAAGGTTCATCATAACTTCCTGACTTTTGTATTCTACGCCCCTATTTATAAAGCCTAGTAACCCAATTACTATTTTAACATATTTATTTACCTGTCCTGTCACCTTCAAAGATATACATATATGAACCCTCAGGTCTCTCTGTTCCTTCACCCCCTTTAAGATTGTACCATCTAGCTTATATCGCCTCTCTTCATTCTTCCTCCCAAAATGAACCACTTTGCATTTCTCCACATTAAACTTCATCTGCCACATGCCTGCCCAATTTACCAGTCTATGTCCTCTTGCAGTCAGCTACTACCCTCCTTAAAGTTTACTACTTTTCCTAGATTAGTATCATCTGCAAACTTGGAAATTGCACTCCCTATACCCAACTCCAGATCATTTATATAGATCAAAAAGAGCAGTGGTCCCAATACCGACCTCTATACACTTCCCTCCAGTCAGGAAAAACAACCGTTAACCATCATTCTCTGCTTTCTGTCTCCCAGCTAGTTCTGTATTCATGCTGCCACTGTCCCTTTGAAACCGTGGGCTTCTATTTTGCTTACAAGTCTCTTATGTGGCACTTTATCAAACGACTTTTGAAAATCCATATAAACTACATCAACTGCACTACCTTCATCCACCCTCTCAGTTACTTCATCAAAAAATTCTATCAGGTTTGTTAGACATGATTTGCCTTTAACAAATCTGTGTTGGCTGTCCTTTATTAACCTCACATTTTTCTAAGTGAAAATTTATTTTGTCCTGGAGTATAGTCTCTAGAAGTTTCCCCACTACTCACATTAGGCTGACTGGCCTTCAGTTCTCAGGTTTATCCTTCTGTCTTTTTTCGTACAGGGGAGTAACACTTGCAAACCTCCAGTCCTCTGGCACCACCCCGAGGAGGATTGAAAGGTTGTGGCTGGAGCCTCCGCTATTTCCACCCTTACTTCCTTCAGTAATCTAGGATTCATCCTGTCCGAACCGGGTGACTTATGTACCTTGAGCACCGTCAACCTTTTCAACACCTTCTCTCTGTTTAATCTTATCCTATCCAATTTCTCTACCCTCTCCTCCGATACTGTGGCATTGGCTGGATCCTCTTCTTTTGTGAAGATAGATGTAAAGTACTAATTAAGTACGTCAGCCATGCCCTCTGCCTCCAAAGAAGATTTCCCCTTTGGTCCCTAATCACAGCCCCCACCTTTGACGAACCGTTTATTCTTTATATGCTTATAAAATACCTTAGGGTTCCCTTTTATGTTACTTGCTAATCTTTTCTCATACAATCACTTTGCCCCTCTTATTTCCTTTTTCAGTTCTCCTCTGTACTTTCTATATTCTATTTGATTATCTTCTTTATTTTGGACCTGACATTTATCATAAACCTTTTCCTGTTTTATTTTAATCTCAATTTCCTTAGTCATTCAGGAAGGTTTGGATGGCCTACCTTTCCCCTTGGTGGGAATGTTATTTGTTCTGTCCACAAACTATCTCCTCCTTGAAGGCTTCCCATTGCTCATTACCTGTTTTATCTTTCTCTCCAGCCCAGTGCAAAGTCTCACAGTCCCAAGTTGGGCACACTTGTGTATCAGAAATTCAGTACTAATTCTGAATGTATTGTTATTATTAGGATAAGAATAAATAAATGTACTGTAAAATAGTTTCTGTGCATTATGTCTTCATTTTACATGTTTATCTGCCAATTTACTGTTCTGGTAGCTATTCTGATACAATCTCCCATTATAAATCATATGACACACAGAAACAGAATTTTTCAGCACAGAAGGAGGCCGTTTGGTCTATTGTGTCAGATATTACACTAAACCTCAGTATAAGATCTGAAAGAGTTAAGGAGGAAGTTAGAAGAAACTTTTTCATGCAGAGAATTATTGGAACATGGAATTATGAAATCTTTTGTTACAAGTGTTGCTGAATCTATAACAGTAAAAACATGAAAAGGGGAATATGTATTTGAAGGAAAACAATACAAAGGGGAATGGGGAAAGAGCCGGGAATTAGGATTAGAATGGAGTGCTCCAGTGGGTGAGCGAGCACGAGGATAGGCTTGATGGACTGAATGGCCTCTTTCTGTGCTTTGACATACATGATTTCATGACAGTGTGGTTGGATCCAAACCCTAGGTTGTGGAGCCAAAAGGACAATGCAAAGTCAGAGATTGGAAAATATGAAGTAATTCAAGTCCGTGCATTGGATCAAAGTGCAGGAGCTCCAATGTGCTGTACAAGGGAATGGTAGTCAAAATGAGGACATTGTTGAACGTCTGCTCAGGACCAGCAGGAGAAATAATCAGGCTCTGTGTACACAGCAACCCAGCTTGTCACACTCTGTGCTCAGGTTTTATCAGATTTGATGATGTTCTTATCCTACTTGGGGTATCTTTTCAAACCCTTACCCTGTTGAATAGCTAGGAAGTCCTTAGGGTTATATCACACAGAGGTACTGGGGCTTTTTGATGTATTATTGACCCGTGACCTGGTGACAATGCAGTTAGTAATTCACCCAAATCAGCAGGTCAAAAGTTAATAATAACAATAAAGGTTACTTTTTCAACAACACAGATAATATTCAGGTTTGATTGACCATCAAGTGCCAAAAAAGTGATTCCCATCCTCTCTACCCCCTTCACCCATGATGATGTGAAGGTGGAGTTTATCTGCTGAGTTCGTATCTTTAACAGTTGGATTTGCATTTGAGACCATAAATTCCCCACCCCCCACACACACCTGATTTTGCTTGAGGGTTGAGACAAGCTTTTGCAGAGTGATGTTCTCCTCTTCCAGCTCTGTGTAATCTTGCAGGAGACGTGTCTCCCGAAACTTGTATTCTCGGATCTCGTCCTTCATCCGCGATCTCTGCAGCTCCAACATCTCATTGTTCTTAGAGGAGGAAAAGACACAGAAAGTTGGAGTTAGAAACCAGGTGTCTCAGTCCATTAACAGGTCACTCACTCCTTGGCTGTTTGTGTGCAATTGGCTGCCGCAATTCGCCCATAAAATACACAGTTAATCCACTTTACAGTATATTCTGCAAATGAGACTTCTCAATGATGTGATAAGGCACTATATCAAATGCAAGGATTTTTTTTATTAACAGGGCCCTCACCATTACAAACTGAGTGACAAGCCTCCTGTAATTCTGGAGCCAGTGAAGAGTCTGACAACCATCTCTGTCCCAATAAAGTCACACAAAAGTGGCGCAATGATGCCACCATGCTTGATTCTGTGCCTTAGGTTGGTATCTCCCACCATGGGGATAGCATTGCCGCAACGTAAAGTAGGGTGACCCATACGTTTCCGATTTCCGGGGACAGTTCTCGGATGAGGTATTGTCTCCATGGCCAAATTTGCCCTGTCTTGACTTCAGCAATAAACTGAGCAATCAATAATTCTAAACCAGATACACTCATCAGAGAAGCACAGTCATTAATCAAACAAGCTTGTCCGGTCCTACCAGCCTCAGGAATTGTGGCAAGTTCAATTTTGTTTTATCTGTGTCAACGGATTTGGTTTACAAAATATGGTCACCCTAATTAAAGGCTTCTAAACTCAGCGGCCACACTCCCCACCAGCGATCTCAGAACCCACCAGCAAGCATTTACAAGCTGAGCATTTAGTTCTGCATCAGAGAGGACAACAGAAAAAGCAGCTGCTCTCTGTCCCCAGTGTCACAAGAACTAGACTCACATAAATATAATCCTTTGTTTTGATGTAGCGCTATACCCAAATGCATAGTTTTAGCCTTAAACAAAATACAAAATTACATTTGCATAGCGCCTTTCACGTGGGAGGATGTTTCAAGGTGCTGGACAGTCAGAGATTTGGACCCAAGCGGGGTGGGGGGGGGGGGGAGGGTAATGGGATCAGTGAGGGTGCAAACCAGGGAAGGAAGGAGAATGGAGGGCAGGGAAGGTAGGAGGGAGGCCGAAGGCATGATCGAAGAGGAGGGCCTTGAAATGTGCCTTGAAGGAGGCAAGGAAGGCAGTGAGGCTAAGGGAACTGTGGGATGAAGTTTCAAAGGGGAGGGCAGAGAGTTGGAAGGCCCAACCACCAATGGTAGGGCTGGCTGGGTGGCGGACGTGGAGCAGGCTGGAGTCTGCTGAATGGAGGGAGTGGACACGTTGATAAGGGGTTAGCAGGTCACAGAAGTATGAAGGGGCAAGGCCGGGGAGGGCCTTGAAGATGACAACGAGAATTTTGAACTCTACCATCTGAGGGATGGGAACCTGTGGAGCCGGGTGAGGGTGGGGTTGATGGGGTCAGGGAACTAGTGCGGGAGAGGACATGAGCTGCAGAGTTCTGGATGATCTGCAGCTCGTGGTAGGAAGCGTTGGGAAGGCTGACAAGCCGGGAGTTGGTGTAATCGAGCCTAGATGTGATGGTGTTGCGGAGATGGGGTAAGATAGAGTGGGTCATGGCACGGATGTGGGGTAGGAAGGACAGTTGAGGGTCAAGTAAGTCACCAAGGTTCCGGACTGGCTCAATGAAGTGGAGTGCCTATGACTTAAAATGTCCTAAAATGACCTAAAACCAGTCACATAAAATGTTACTGTTACGCAGAGTATTNAAAAAATCTTAAATTCACTCTTAATTTGAAAATCAGTTTACCGCAGTCCTTCAAAATCACTGTGGACAACGCTTTCCAATTGGGACTGAATTTAAGAATGTTCCCAAACTCTGCACATTCTGATATATTAGGACAATGGTCTGATGGCTATGACGAGATCATTTTGGGCCCCAGATTCAAGGCTCGCCCAGTGCTTTCACCCTGTGCCTGGGCTCTGAAGACCATATTGCTGCTCACAGTTCCAGAAATAAATGAAAGCCGTCACTGTTAATGGGCCATCGATCCACTCCACTCAATCACTAATAAACGATGAGTGAGAAGAACCGCGATTACTGGGAGCCTCATGTTCTGTACAGCACAATCCAGTCAATATCCAATTTACAGCTTTAAAATAAATAGCAAATTCACCCCTGCATGTTTAAACCAGCCAGGCATCCACCCACCCAGACAGGCACACAGCGAGCCAGGCACCGACCCTTGTGTCTGTGGCTGTGAGTATGTGTGTAGGTGTGCGGATGTATGTGTGCAAGAAATAATGGTTCTATTCTGAAATAGTTCAGATCCTATCTCTCACACCGTCTCCACCTCCATCTCCACAAACAGCTTCTCCTCTAGCCCCCACACCGTCTTGTGCAAGATTCCTCAGAGCTCTGTCCTTGGTCCCTTCCTCTACAATATCTATATGTTCCCTCTTGGTGACATCATCCGCAGACATGGGGTTAACTTCCACATATATGCGGATGACACCCAACTCTACCTTTCCTCCTCAATCCTCAACTCCACGACCACCAATGTCCCGACAGCCTGCCTGTCTGACATCGAGTCCTGGACGAGAGACAACTTTCTTCAGCTCAACGTGCGCAAAACTGAGGCCCTCCTGATTGGCTTTCGTCAGCGCTTCCGCACCTCAGGCGCTGACAGCATCAGCATCCAAGGCTGCACTCTCCACCTCTCAAAGCCAGTCAGGAACCTCAGGGTTCTGTTCGACCCTGAGCTGTCCTTTCTTCCCCACATCCGCGCCACAACTGGCACCGCCTTCCATCACCTCCGGAACATCGCCAGACTACGGCACTACCTCACCCCTCACGCTGCTGAAACTCTGGTCCACGCCTTTAGCACCTCAAGGCTGGACTACGGGAACTCTCTCCTCGCCGGCCTTCCCGCCACCTCCCTCCACAAGCTGCAGGTCATTCAGAACTCTGCAGCTCGTGTACTGTCCCGCACCAGGCTTCGCGACCACATCACTCCCACCCTCGCTCGCCTCCACTGGCTCCCCATCCCCCAGAGGATTGATTTCAAGATCCTCATCCTCACCTACAAGGCCATTCACGGCCTTGCTCCCTCCTACCTCTCCGACCTACTATCCCCCTACTTACCTGCCCGTACCCTCCGTTCCTCTGGCTCCGGTCTGCTCCACATCCCCCACCCTAACCGTCCTACCATCGATGGCCGGGCCTTCAGCCTCTCAGCCCCTAGGCTCTGGAACTCCATCCTCCAGTGCCTTCGCCTTGCCTTCTCCCTTTCCTCCTTCAAGGCCGGTCTCAAGATCTTTCTCTTCAACCGAGCCTTCACCCCCCCTCTCAACTCTCTACCCCCTCCTCGCTCCCTCCCTTCCCTCCCCTCACCCTGACCATTTCCCCCCTGCTCGGGTCACGACCCAACTGTCCAGCGCCTTAGGACGTCCTCCCGACGTGAAAGGCGCTCTATAAATGCAATCTTGTTGTTGTTGTTGTTAATTCCCTACCAACCTGCCCACTCCTTCCGCTCAGTGGGTTCCAGCCAACTTCACATTCCACACGCGCCCTCCCCACCACTGGCGAGCGGGCCTTCAGCCACTCTGCCCCACCCTCCAAAGCTCCATCCCACAGTCCCTTTGACTTGCTCCCTCCCTTGCCTTCTACAAGACCCGTCTCAAGACCCTCTTCTTCGGCCGTGCCTTCGGTCACCCTCATTCACCCCCTGCCCTCTACCCTCTGCAATCCTGACCCCCAGCTCAGGTCCACTGGTTGTCCAGCACCTTGGGACATCCTCCTGACATGAAAAGTCCTATACCAATGTAATTTTGTTGTTGTTGGTGTGAGTGTGTGTGGATATATGCGTGGGTGAGTGTGCAGATGTGCATGTGTAAGAGGGTGCAAGGATGAGTGTGTGTGTATATGCTTGTGAGTACATATGTGTTTATGTATGCGTGTGACTGCATGTGTGTGTATGTGTGTGTCTGTGTGAATGTGTCAGTGATGTACCTGGTGATCACTGACGGCCTCTGTCTTTTGCTCTTGGATTGACGACAATGACCTACAATTGACAACGTTCCTATAATTAAAATGAATACAGACACGCCATCCCGTCCCTCAGCGTGCGGGAGGGAAGAACGCTGGAAATTAACAGTGAAACTGTGGAGGAAACAGAAGTCTCGCTATCGCCCTTCAATGACTGAGCTGCGTTCACGTCAGGCCTGGCTTTCCCAGGGAGCACTACAGCCTGAGGCTCTGTGATCACAATTGAAAAGGCTGTTCTTACTGCTCATGACCACATCCTCCAGTCATTGACATGGCACGAGATTAACACCTCCCTCTGTGTTCACTAACTCAATCATTCCCAAAAGGGACTCCTAAGAGATTTGCGCTATTGTACGGCTGCATCTTAGATAACTTGATCAGGGCACACAGAGAGCCAGACTGCTCTGAGCTGCAGGACTAACTCAGGCAGATCACATCCAGCTCCAGGGCTCCCCGGGAAGGTGTGTGTTTTTTCCATTATTCTGTGATCAATGTGACAAAAGCCGGTTTCATATTCATTTCCAAAGACGTTCTGACCCCTGGATGTCAGCAGGGAATGTTTAAGTCGCTCGTCCCTGCAACCTAATTTATACAGCAGTCTGATATTTCTGTGGCTTTGCAGCTTCTTATTCAGGCTGGTACACACGGCTCTACATACATATATATTGCTTTTAATAAGAATGATCTAAAGGCAGGGAAGGGAGAAACAGGTCCCAGAGACAGCAGCTGCAACATCAGGAAACATAATATAAGCACGAGGTAGATCAGTGACAGTGAACACCACTGCAGTGAGAGAGAGGGAGAGAGAAAGAGAGAGAAAGACAGACACACAATGGCATGAGACAGGCACATACATTGACGGAGATATAGGCAGAAACACATGTACACAACGACAAAGGGACAGACATAGAGACAAAGAGAGAAGTGCATACATGGATACAATGTCAGAGAAATGGAGATGGACTGACATAGGGACAAAGAGAGACAAGCATGCATGGGTATAGTATCAGAGAGAGAGAGAAAGAGATGGATTG